AACATCCAGTTTGTGCTTTGAATGACTTGAGTATTGTTCTTGTAACAGCAGGATGAAAATGTTTCCTAGTTGTGTTATGGCTTTTTAATGTTTGATCCCTGCACAATCTTACAGAATAAAAGAATCTCACTGTGCCCAGTTTTGGACATGTGCCATTTCCCTCAGGATGAGACACAGACAGTGACAGACTGAAGTGAATTCAGGAAAGGGCCACTGGGAAGATAAGGCAGCTGGAACAAGTGGTTTGTAAAGGAAAAACTCAAACAGTGCTTTCCTTTAGCCTGGAGGAGACAAGACTAAGGGGGAATCCAGCTCTTCAGCTACCAAAGGATGGTTACAGAGGAGGTTTGAGTTGAACTCTTTTCAGAGCAGAGTATAAAGCAACAGCCATGATTTTATAGGATGTGAGATTCTGATTTAAAAAAAATAAAATTCTCAGTGAGAATAGTCAGGCAGTTGAGCAGGTTGTCTCTATAGATTATCTTATCACTGTTCTTGGAGAGATTGTCTTATCACTGTTCTTGAAGATACTCAAAACTTGCCTGGTCAAGGCATTAAGCAACCTAACCCATCTTTAAAGTAAGACCTGCTTTGACCAGAAGGTGGGACTAAATGCATTTCCAAACTGAATTATTTGCTAATTCATTATTTTAACTTTGGGCACTTGTGCCAATAGAGCTTTAGATTGAATATTAGGAAAATCATCATAATGGAAAGGGTTTTAAAGCAGTGGAACAGGCTGCCTGTGGAAGTGGTGGAATCCAGTTATCATCCCTGAAGGTATTTAAAAGACATGTAGGCATGGCACTTAGGGACATAGTGGTAGTGCTTGTTTAATGGTTGAGCTCAATGATCTTACTTGTCTTTCCCAATCTAAATGATTTTATGATATGTGGAGTGTGCCACAATTAAATATAAACACATACAGCCATTAGTTATATGATCAGAATAACTGAACATACGAACAATAACATATAAACTATTGAAAGCAATACAGTATTGCAATTGTAATCAACTGTCAATTCAATATTTTTATATCAAAACAAATGTCTAAAGGAGCTCTGAGCCAAATTCTTTATTCTGTCTTGTTCTGCTCTAAAAGAGATGCCTTAAATTTTGTAAGATTAGATTTAAACTTACTAACTTAAATATGTCAGACTCTAATAATAATGTCTTGACAATAATATGCCGCCGTTCTTGAAGTTGGCTGGCAAGCATCCTGACCTTCAGCTTTGGGTTTGTAATTACTTTTCTTCTCTCTGAATGATGTAACAAAAGATTACATTAATGTCCAAATTATTTGAACCTCAAACATTGCTACTTGAAAATATATCTTTCACATGAAGACCACATATTAGAATCTTAAGTGAATGGGATCATCAGTAGCTTTCTTTGAAAATAATAGCTAAGCTTTAGCTTTCAACACCCAGTGTTATATTACAGGCTGTGCTCAGACTCTGGGAGTATTGACCAAGTCCTTCTGTCCTCTCTGGACTCTGCCGAGTCCATACAAAGCACTGATAACTTGGGGGGTTCTGTTGCTTAGTACTGTGCTAAGTGGAGGTAAGCATTTACTGACCCAAGCAAAAGAATGTCCCAGAACCAGTTTTATTGTTAAGTGTTTGTGTGAAGTACTTTAATTTTCTAGCTGTTTTGTGATAACGTACTTGCTGGTTTTTTGCAGAGTCTGTGTCCGTTCCCGTTGTTGGGATGCTTGTATGGTTGTAGATGGAGGAACATCTTTTGAGTTCAATGATGGGGCAATAGCTTCAATATTGATTGACACAGAAGATTCACTGTGCACTGTTCTGCTGGAAGAATGAAGGACCCTGATGTCTTTTGCTGAAACATTTATGGATCCATAGAGGGAAAACCATGGGGATATCACAATGCTGCATTATATTGGAAGTTGGCCTTTTCGGATGCAAGAGCATTTGGAGGAAGCTTGAAATGCTTTTCATTCCTTTGGGTTGGGGAATCATTAGCCTGATATTTAAGCTTTTTTTGCATCTAGTGTAAATGTCTGAAGTGTTACCTCTAACTTCAGTGAGAATTGACATTTTAACTTGTAAGGCAAACATGAAAGCTTTGTAAACACAGGTAAATGGGTTCAAGTATTAAGTCAGTAGTATTAAATATTCAGATGTACAGTTTTTTAGTAACAGTCTGGGACTGATAAAACTAAATACTTCATACATACACTTTTGTAGAAAAGTTGACTGTCAAACTAGCAATTTGATGCAAGGATATATAGATTTTGGTAAACCATTATGTTGATGTAAAAGAAATGAAAATACGAATCTTTTGTATGCTTTTCAAAAATTGTACAACTTTGTAGTTTCATACAACTTGTGACAATTTTTTTTGTTCTTCCAGTATTTTTTCTACTTTGTAGACTTACATCAAGAGTATAAGTCTGGTTTAGTACATCTTTAATAAGGTAGCTTTTAGTTTTTCTGTTTGGCTAGATAGGGACTTGAAATCCAAAGGTTTTCTTGAGCCCTTTATGAAGAATATACAAATTACAGAAATCATGTTGTAGTGGGATATATTCCTTCACTGAATGGATTAACTGGCAAGCAGATGATCAGAACACTACTAGTGTATGTAAGTGGCTATCATTAAGACATATATTTGGCCTTATTTAGTTGAATGTTTGGAATTTTAGATTTTGAATTTCTTATATTTCCAGAAGAATGAGATATGCTGGGTATTAGGAGTTAGAGTGCAAGCTAATACCTATGTCTTCCAGTTTTCCCAGCATGTTTTTACCTTCTCCAGAAAATTTAAATTCCCAATCCTATGTTGAATTCTATTGATATGTAAATGACAACAAATCACATGTCTCTGCTCATGTTAGGTAATCAAGTTGATAATAGAAAAAAAAAAGCTCTGATGAAAGAATAGCAAGTGACCTTTGAAATCTTTTAGAAAAACTGTGAACTGTGACTGCCTTTTGAAATCTGTGCTTATAATTGCATAGGTGAGGCAGAATTTGGGAAAACAAATATTCCTACAGCAGGAACTCTTCTGCTACATAACTTGAAAATAGTATGTTTTGTCTACTACAGCTTGGTTTCCAAGAGTTTTTAAGAAAACGACTTTTGAATGAGGAGACTTCTGTAACAGATGTTCTCAGGTCTAATGGAAATGTTCTCCAATGTGGCCAATCAATCAGTGTATTTATGGCCACTTTCAAAATGTAAACTGCTCTTTACTGGTGGAGGAAACGGACAAAGGGTTTTTTCCCTCTAGACTTAGAGTGAATAGAACTTAAAACAGAATTTAGAGGATATAGATTTGACCAGGCCATTCAGTTCTAGGAAAATGTGAAATTGATGGAGATGTCTGAATAAGCTATCACTGTGTCCATTTCACCTTTTAAGTGTGCTGCAGAGTTATTTACACTGTCTGGTTGTCTTGATTGTAAACCTAGAGAGGAAAAGCAAAGTAGCCAAATAAGCTTTCAAAAGTTTGTAAGTTCAGGAACTATCAGAATAAAGTTCTTACAGTCTAAAATAATGTGCAAAGCTTGCCTAAAGGTAAAGAGTCAAAAGACTAATCTTTCTAAAAGTTGTGTGCACACAGACTAGGATGTTCTAGCTACTCTCAATCTATCTGTAACCAGTTAGGGATTGTCTATTACGTGCCTCTGTCATGTACACTAGTCAATATGCTGTTAGGATTCAAAAAATCCTCAAGTCCACCAATGCCATTAACACTAATGTATTCCTTCCTAGGACTCTTACTACTCTTAGATTAGATTTAGGTATTGAACATGTGCACAGCAAATGTACAGCAGAAATCCCAACAATTGCTTATTTAGATATTTGTGTGCTGTGAAGTTTTAATGGAGACTGCTTAGTCAGATCAGCAAGCATACCTCTTAAACATGCCTGTCATTCCTTATTATGAATATTAAGACTAAAAGGTAATGTCTTCAGGCCCTACAGCCCCAAAGTATGATCTAGATTAGGACTTACTTAGTAAATTTTCAGTCAAATTAATAATTTAGCAAAATGGAAGCCTGACCTACTCATGAGTGGCCTCTACTGGGTTTGTCTGTATTTAATTGCAGTTCTGTTGAGGCATTTACTGGTGAATGCTTAAAATTGAGGAGGATGATTCAGAAATCTATTATTAATAGTAAGCAGCTACTCTTTTTTTATTAAACAACTGTAGGACCCTTTTTAAGGTTCCTTTATGACGAAGGGTTGCAGTACAGACAACTTACTTGGTAGACACTATTCCAGGACAGGACTGAGTCTTGGTTTAACACTGATTTAATTACTGTGGACTGACAGTGATTTTTGCACCTCTTCTACCTGCTGAGTCAAGTCAATGTATTTTCATTTAATGCTAGTCTACACTGTGTTCTGCTAAACTAGACCTGTTATTCTTTGCTTTTTTTTTCCCAAGTGGTGTTTATACATTATATAATAAAAAATTAAAAGGTTAATTGATAAATGAAGCTGTCCTGTGCCTGATTTCAACCTTGAAAAGTGTTTCATATGCTCAGTTTCTTCTTGCTTACTGTTTCAGGTTGATTTAATGATTTGTGAGCCTTCATGCATTTACATGTAGTATAGAGACTAATCAATGTGCCAGGTTTTGTTCTGGAGTGCTTAAGGCTGTTTCCCTTAGGAAAGGGTCAGTTGAGCATCTTATCCAAAGGGCTTTCATATCTACTAGAGCTATCATTATAACTGTGAAATAGACAGGCAGCAGTGATGCTTTTCCCCTTCCAACAGCAAACCTAGTATATAAAATTATTCCTTCTTAGTTAAAAGGTCCACTACTGTTCCAGTTCTGCACAGACTTTAAAACATAGTCTAATGAATGCTGAAAATATTTTTGGTAACACCCTGTCCTTTAAACCACCACTGCTTGGAGAAATTTCTTTTTGACAATGACACAAAGTTGGTGGCAAACCAGGGAAAGCACTCTCCCATCCATCAGTCATTCTGTACAATAAAGCAATTTCTTAGATCTTTATTAAATGCAAGAGAAGTTTCATGGAGTTACATTGTGCATAAGAAGAATTTACAGTAATGCTGTGCTGCAAAGATTTTTTTTCTTGAAAAAATTTAAGGTATAATTCTAAGGCAGCAAACTGAGGTGGTAGAATATTCTGTATCCTCCAACTTCCTGTGACTCCTCCAACTCCCACAAGGCATGTTGTCCATTTAGTCCTTCGTAAGGGATACAAGCCCATTATTAACACCTGTTACTTATACTGTTAAATTTAATAAAAACCAAACCAGCTTCAGTTAAACAGATAATGCTTTATTTACTAAACTCTAGAAAGTAAAGTTAAATATCAAACTCATACAATCTTTCCACAGTAAGTAATCTGTTCTGCACTACCGGGTATTCATTCCTGAATGCTTTTCCTCAAGACTGCAGTGGGAAAAGCTGTATCTATGCAAAGGCCTAGAGTAATATGTTGGCTACTTATAAAAACATCCATGAATAAATTCAGCTGCTTGCTTACTGCATTCATGGGAAAAACAGCAGCATATTTATGTCCTACAGAGGGTCCAAGTTTTGCCCTAGGAATTACCAGCTAAAACACCTGCTGGAACAGCTTAGGCTTATGCATGAGGAAGGACCCTGATAACAGATGCAAATGAAAGGTTTATTTTAAGTCATTACCTATCCATATCCTTTATTTGGTTTTTTTTTTTTTTCTTTTTGGACATTTACTCAGCTTCTCCTATGACTTTTAAAAAAAAATCAACACTAAACAATAGTGGTTAGTGATACAAATACAAGTGCTACTACAAACAAACTAATATAAAAAAAGAAATGTATGTCTCTTGATAGCACCAAAGCATCTCTCCCTTTTAGCATTCTTACACAGTAGTCCCAGGTTCTGGTTTTTGGTCATATCTAGAACTCCTTGAGCCTCTTCCTGCAAAAATTCTACCAATGTATCAGTTGCACTTGAAAGATCTTAGAGAAAGTTTTATCTACAATCAGGCTCACAGAAGCTACATTAAGTTTCTGGAAAGTGTAATCAGAAAACCCAGGACCACAACATGAAATAATGGATAACCAGCATCTATTTTCACAGATGCTAATTTTGAACGGGCTTCTCAGACTGTATTTGGCTAAAAATGAAGGCTACTAAAGACAAAAGTTTCCTTTGTGGCCTCCTAAATAAAAACTTCACTACAGCTCCTTTATGCTACTTAATTTGTAAGGTATTGAGCTCTTAGCTGCTTCTGTGTAGATATCCCCAATTTACTGTTTTCAAGCTTGATTCATTCATCCTGCAGTACCTACTCTTCAGTTACGTAGTTGAATAGATTTAATATAGAAGTATTCATTTGGAATTCCGCAAACTCCTTAATAAACCTTACAAAGATATCTGGCACCTCTGCAAGCTGTTCCAGAAGCTGCAGACAGTTGCTAGAGGCTGACATTACTTATCAATGTAAGTAATTCATTTCTACTTATCAAATCACTTGGCGGTGATTTGTTTCATATTTTTTTCAAAGATCCCCTGTAAAAAAAAAAGACTGAAAGAAATATTCTGTAATTACTCACAGATCATCAAATTTCTAAAGGCTTTAAGTACAAAAAACTGATATAAAATATTATGAAACATTAGGGTGTAAAACCAAGTTAGACAGTAACAGTACTATGATAAAAGGTGCTCCAGCACTTTTTTTCCCTAAGGAGCTTCAATGCACAGTGTGTCCATGGCATCAAATGCATTGTACATGATCACAAGAAACTAGGATTTCTCAGTGTCAATCTGCATTTGATGCCCCAAATCTCATGGCTCTTTTTATTGCCAACAGTTGGCCTTGCAATGCTGGTAAAGTGTGAACCATTAATCTTCATGTCGGGTAGTGCTTCCTCAAGGAGTTGCAGGGAGCTATCAGTCACTATTCCAAATACCTGAAGAGTCTTCAGTGTTCGAATTTCACCAAGCTCTCTAGAAAGACAGAGATAGGAAATGAACTATGAAACAGAAAACATTTTTGTCGTTTTTCAGCCTGTACCCAAGCTACATAACTCAATTTTTACTGATTTTTTAGAAGAGGGTAAACTATATAAGCACATATTTAATTGGAACTAGTACTCAGCACTGGTACTTCAGCAAACTGGCTGAATAAATTACTTTTCTGCTAGTCTCTCTCACAGACTGAAAACAAACTGATTCTTTCCCTTTCCTAACCTTGGACTTAAAAATCTGGAACAAGTGAAGTAAATTGCACAGAGGAAGTTCCAGGATGTGGCTCAGAGGATACAAGCCCCTGAGTACCATCAATCCACTGAGTACTATCAAGCCACTGAGCACCAGTTTGTAGCAGTATTTCAGTGAGTAGCCAGACCCAGCTTCTTATTTGCTTTACATTTTCCTAATCATCATCTGAACTGTGTGTCTTCCAAGCAAGTACTGACCAAAATCAAAAGGCTGAGGCACGTGCTGCCACAGCAAAGGTTCTTCAGATCTTTTTCAATAGCCCTGTTCCTCTCAACCTTTTTTCTTGTTGTTGGCGATTTCCTTTGTGTTGACATCTTTCCTGAAAGTGCTGGGATTGAAAGCTTCTATACTAATAAAAGGCAGAAAGACCTCATGAACAAGTCACTCTAAGCCATGTTTGAATCACAATCACTAACTGATAAAGGTGCACACAAAAGCAGATATACACGGCTTACTAGTCCAGCCAGCACTGTCAACTCTGCCAGCTATTCCAAACCTTCCTCCACACTCAGAAGTCTACTACTGACATCAATACTGATGGGTTATTTTATCTTAGTTTTATTCCTGATTCCTCATACCATTAAGTTTTTTGAAACAGTATTTGCAATTCTAAACCTAAAATAAAGCAAATTTAAATTAATTCACCCTCTGTATGAACAGCAAACCAAAGCTAATTAGAGGTTACTTACACTAAGGCAGCAGGTGATATCTGGTAACATCGGCTAAGGCACAAGTGTTGTAGGAACACAAGTTGTTTAAAATACTGGAAGCACTCAGGCTTTAACATCATGCTGTCACTGTACAGAGAACACATTAAATAAAGTTTTAAGTATACAGCAGTAGTAAGTTTGCTCTTTTGAAAATTTAGCCAGAGGAATTAATTGAATATCTACTTTTTCTACCACCAAAGTATGTGGTAGAAAAAGTATATATATACACCCATCTCTCACGTATATGCTGTGCATGCAAAGGGGCAAGTGAAGCAGAAGTTTCCCTTCACACAGATACTCTGCAGCAGAACTTATGCCATGAATAGGCAAGTTCTCCAGAGATTTCAAAATACTGTAACTGACTAGGTCAAAACCAAAATATAACTTACTTTATAGTTATATGGCCAAGTAACAAATTAATATTAGAGATGACTTAAACCCTCTCTAGGATGCTAGGCTAATGAACTGTAGGCATCTAAATACTTCCATCCACCATTCCACCTATGAATTACCATCTCTTGTTAGTTAAGAAATCCTGTAGGTATCTGACATTTATGCTGGGGTAACAAGACATCTTCAATTAGTTCCCTCCAGATTAGGTCATGCCAGATAGCAAATCTTCAGTAGGTTTAGCTTGAACAGTATTTTCCGGATGTGCAGTGGTACCTACACAACCTTGCCTCAGTGCTAATCCCCTGAACCACAAGGATTTAAGGACTGGCTGCACAGGTCCTCTTACCTGAGATCTAAATGGACAAGCAAAGGACATCTCTCCACCAGCGTTTTCACATCTAAAAAGAGGTCACAGAGTCAGTCCCTCTTTCAGTAACAGGATGGATGTGCTTTACACACACAGCCTGCTGATGTCCACACATATTCATTTATATGTTTTTTACTTGAACCCCACAACTGAAGCACAATGTTTAAACGAAAAGGTATATGCCTAGGAGCTAGAGCATACAGTCTGCCTATGAAGATACCTTATATGGACTTCTTTTAATCCTCAGCAAAACAGACATTTAGTTCAGCAAATTATCCCTAGAAGTCAGTTGCATCAACCCCATCAACTTAGGAAGACAATAATTCAAATAATATTTTTGTGAAATCTACTTGAGACGTAGTAATGGTGGGCTGCCTGAAATACTTACATGTAGTGGAAAAGTAATGAAAAATTTCCACCCATCAAATATCCTTTCAGAGCACCAAATCCTTTAGGCATCTCCATTTTTACCCACAAAAAGTTATTATGACAAAAAGTAATGTTTTTTTCTGATTTAAACTGTAAATTTTTTAATTTCTTTTCATTGTCTGCAAGTAGCACTGGAATCAGCTGTAGTTCAGATATTACCTAAAAGCCATTACAAAGTGCTCAACAACAAGCAACAGAATTTTGGTATTTCAGAATGCATGTGCAGAGACTAAACAAAACAATACCTTAATTATGACGATTAATGTACTATTCAAGTCTTATGCCTGATAAATTGCACTCAAACAGAGTAAAGTCACTCAGAGAAAGTGTCTGACAAACAAAAGAGGTGAGCACATGGTCTCTAATGGTTCAATTAGAGGACCCAAGATTTAAATTTCTGATGTGGAGAAGATTTTGTAGCATATTTGTTTACAGGTTTGGGGCTGAGATAAGAAGATTTTCCTATTTCCCCACAATGGGAATGCCTGAGGGGGTCTGTTGTGATATTTAAACAGAAATGAGAGTTCACCTCCTGCATGTCATCCTGTGCCCTACTGTCATATTCACTCATTGCAAAAATTAAATTATCTTTATTACAGAAGGACTTTCACCCTTTAGCTATGCTTTTGTTCACTCTGATGTACCTCCCCCTGTAACCCTCCAAATTAATAAAACTTTTCTTCCTAGAACTAGTAGAAAGTAAATGGTTAGATGTCGATTGCCAATTTTGCCTTCCAAATTAACTTGTATCTGGATGTCAGTCTGCAATTCAAGCACATACTACGACTGTTCTCTTTTAGATGTTTTCAGCAGACACAACAGCAGAAGCCTTAAGAAAGCCTTCCAGATACTGTTCCTGGAGCTAATTGTTAGCACACAGTCCTGCTTCCAGGGCTTGCTTCACAAGTAAAGTGAAGAAGCTTTCAGCTGAAGAAGAAATTAGTTTTCACTTGATTGTTCCTAAATTCAGAAATCATCTCACCCTTCATGCCGCAGCTAGAACTAAGAGTAAGAGTCTCTGATAGCAAGAACTTCAAACTATACAGAGCACAAAAGTTACTGTTAGTACCTGACTCTTCATACAAAGAGTGATTGCCGAGCAGAAGAAAATGTAAAGCCTACTGCTTCATCCCATAGTGGGATAAAGGTTTGTCACACTGCTGTTTACCTGCTATTTGTAGATTCTCTCTGTAGCCACTTAAATTTAACTGGGTGATCTTTGAAGTAACGTTATTGACTGCTGCTTTGACATGAGTGGCTGTGAATTCACACCAGGACAAGTTCAGCTCCTCCAGCCTACACACAGACAGAGTTGTTAATAAGAATGACTGAAATGCAATTCAAGTTGTGGTATTTTCCATTACAGTTGATACTTTTAAAGCAAATACTTGTAACATGCCAACGGCCAACTTACTGTATTCATGCCTAGAAATTCTAGTATGACAGTAATTAAGCACTAGTGAACAGAGCAGGTTACACAGCCAAATCTGTCTCTGGAGATTTTCAAGATCCAACCAGAGAACATCCTCATCCACGTGGGCAGTGCTAATTTTAGACCCTGGTCTGGGAAAGGGGTTAAAGTCACTCCCCAAAGTCACTTTCAACTGGAATGATTCAGTAACGGGTCAGGAAGTAAAGGCTCTCTCCAGGAACTGCCACAAGGAGACACTGTCTTTTCATCAGGTTTGTGACCTGAATCTGTTATAAATGAACAGATGGTCACATTGAGAGGAAAAATTACCATCCATTATTAGTACTGGTCAGATGACCAATTAATCCTAATTAGCATAAAATAATTCATAGTTTTATATAAACGCTGGTCATGCTGTGAGCTTAACTCTCTTTATGTGCTTGATTACCTATACCCTGTCACCATGGGGCTGGGACAAAGTATTGTTCTGTGTGCAGGTGTTGTAGCTGTAACCAAGGGACAAAGACAGTGAATGCACAACGAGAGCATTTAGCTGGCACTCTCTACATAAAATGAAAAAACAGTTAAATTGCCACTAGCATTCCTAGGATCAGATTTGCCATCTGGTATTCACTGTGCACTGCACAGACTGCCATCCCCTACAGAGCTCATGATCTGAGTAATCAGACCAAGCAGCAGAAAGATTAAGGCTTTGGCTGCCCACTAACGCACAATTTGATTAAAAAACATGCTTTTGCAGAAGGAATGATTATGGACGTTGTCCTGCAGATCACAGGAAGTCAGCAGAAAGATTGGGATATAAATCCCGAATTCACTGGGGCCCAGTTCAGTGACATTCTGCCAGCAGATGGTTTAATCACTGGAGCTGTCAATCTGAACACAGTCCTTCATAAACTAGAAGGTTACTGAAGGATTATTCTACCATGGAAAGCACAGTGCTCTCTGCTACTCATGCTGTACTCTGATTGCAAAGTGAGCTCTGCAACTGCACTTAGCAGTTTCAAAACACACACTTCATCTTTGTGAGAATCACATACTATTTTCATACATTGACATGATATCAAAGGAACATAAATGGGATTTACACACCTAAGAAGATGATTCAGAAAACCCATGAAAAATTACTGAAGTACATCTTTGTTATTAAAGAAGAAAATAGCTTGATGGAAAGAAATTACCTGACTATTCAGCTAATAATAAGCTGTTAGCATTTAGGACCAAAAACAGGCACATCAAAAAAAAAAACAGATACAAGAATAATTGGGATGCCCAAAGAAAACAATAAATAATTTGTTTCAGGAATAGCAAAGCCTGGTTTTGTCTTACATAGAACAGCTGTTCAACATCAGCTCCAAGGCTTCTGCGGAAAACCCTGAGCACCCACAGAGATTTAGTCGTATCAAATTGGGATTTCTAGCAATGCTCCTGTAGAGAGAAGAAAAAAGAAAAATCTGGTAAAATTTAAATGTTGGAACATTGCTTGCTTAGCTAGGATGTGACTATTTTTAAGACCTAATTTCCTGGACAGGGAATTGTTCACTAAACATGAAGTACTGCATCTTTAATCAGCTGACTAACCAGAGTTCCTAAGGGTCTAAACTCTGTACTTGCTGCATCAAGGCACAACAATAAAAGGGATACCTGTCTATGTATTTGACACTGCTGACAAGTCTGCAAATTTATAAACAACTAAGTTTACAAGGAAATGGTTTCTTTTCACCTTCTCCTGTTGTATGCCAATAAACATACATCACAGCTTATCAGAGATGACTACAGCTCTACAAAAGACAAAGCAACTATCCCATTTCTGATGTCAGCCTTCTGCGAGATAGAAGTTATTCCAGGACAAAATCCATGTCCAAATAGCATCCCCTGAATGCATTTGTTTGCAAGACTAGAACACACATGCAGTTAGCAAAACCTGGAACACTCAGTATGCACATTTGTTCAGAAGGCAATAGAATTCCATCATTATTGCCTGATTAGTACCCAATTTTCTAATAGCTTTAACTATTACTACTGCTAGTATAAAAAACCCAAACTATACTGGTTTATTTGTGTTCTGGTTCCCCCTCTGTGGAGTGAGGAAGGCCTCAGAAAGCCAGGGTCCTGCCATGCAGCCTACGGTCCATGGCACCTCCACAATCCCCTGGTGTGGCAGAACAGGAGGTTGACTACACACCTACAGTGCCTCTGCAGCTGAACCAAAAAACATTTAATCTGCTTGACAGAATCTGTAATCCTCCAGGACTTCATAAGTTCAATAACAAAGTGAGCAACAGTGCAGAAGCACAATGGGTGCCTGGTGGGAGAGCTACTGAGAGCCCTTGGAGTAGAAAAGAACTTGCACACCAAACACAAAGTTCTCTGGGGAGCAAAAAAATGGAAAAATAAAAGTAGCTCTGCTGTACAGCTTAGCTGTGGGAATATGGACACAGAAACCACAGAGAGGTGAGCAGTTTCTTCAACCTCCTGCTATTCTGGGGAATTGGGAGGGAAAAAAAAAACAAACCTAAATGGCCACCTTAAACTGGCCATTTCAAAATACACCCCCAATGAACAACTTCCCACTGCATTCTTCCATTAGCCTGCACAAAATGATGGCACCAAACAGAAGAATATTCCCAAACACGTCACTCACTTGATGATGTTGTCAGAAAGCACTAGACCCTCCAAGCTGAGGTTCTGCAGCTTTGTACACAGACAAAGAATACTGTGGAGATCTGCAGCAGATACTGTGCAGTTTGACAAATCCAGGTGCTGAATTTTAAGAAGACTAAAAAAAAAAAAAACCAACCAAAGTTACTAAAATTGCATTAAAACCTGCTCCATAAATTCCCCACATCACAAATATACCCCATACACTAAAAGCAAGCACAACTTGCAGAAAATATTTCTACTAATTCCTCATACACCTGAAAGTCTATCCTGCTGGAGTTAAATGATTTTTTTTGAGTGTACCATGGAAAAATGCTGGGGATGATGATAATTCAGGCCTCTACAAGATACAAACTGCAAGGGCCTTGTGGTGCTTGATATTTAAAAAAAAATAAAATATCACATCAACTTGGTTTTAAATAACTGACAGGTGAGTGCAGATTCTCCTGTTTCAACACATGCCTAACTACAGATCAGCTCTTCCACACTCCAGACACAGCACCAACACTGCTGCTGGTTGCTATTACCTTAAACCAAAACACTAAAAACACAGACTAAGTATTTGAGACAGTTTCAGGATCTAGAACATGCATAAAAAGCCTTACTTGCTTGTTTTAAACAACGGATCCCCAATGCAAGATCTCGGGCAGCGGAACACAGTAACACCTGCAGGCAACAACTGTCCAAGCACTCCTGGCAGCAGATTCCCACCAGTCAAATCAAGAGTCTGCCACAGAGATTCATCAAATCTGGGGCATAGAATTTTACTTGTTAGTGAGTTCAAATGAGTAACAGGTCAAGTCTGTGAGTACAACCACAGAAAGTTTTTGGTGTCAAAAACAGACAGAGAAGGGAAAGCTATTTAATAACTATAATAATGTTAAAAAACATATGAGACATCTTTTGGTTATACATACCCACATATGGTCTAAACTGAACTATATATGTATAAATAAGATGAGAACCAGACCATTTAATGATCTACAGAAACAAAGATTTCCCTTAGTACTAAATGAAGAGAAATAATACTTACGAAAGTCGATGCCATCTCTTGCAAATCACAGAAACTTTCAGTAAATCTTTTAGGGGCAAATAGGCAAAGATTGCCAGAAGCAATTCATCTGGAAGTGCATCCAAATAAATACCTTTAGGGAAAGAGCAAAGCACATTCTAGTTAAAGCTAGTTCATTTTTGCCTGCTGGTCAGATGCCTTTTTTGGTTTCGTTGTTAAAAGCCCCTCTACAGTTTCTCTGTAGGCAATATATCAGCCTACACCAGACATCAGCCTCACTGTTCATCTCCCTTGCAGCTCATCATTGCAGGATGACATTTTTACCATCTTCGCCTAGGCATGACTGGTAAACGTAAATGTTCTTGTAATATTCACTTTGTATACATAGTAAAGCCATGGACACTGCTCACATACTCACTTGAGGAACAACAGCATCTTAATTACTGCCTTTGTCATCTAACGCTTGTATGATTCGCTGGGGTTTTTTCGCCTCTGCTGAAATGCCCACTCTTCCTATGCATACAAGGGACCCAGAAGGGAGCTCAAGGTAAACTATGCTTCTGTGCGATACACAGGAAAAATTGGGTACTACAAACTGCTTCCTAAAACATACATGCCATCACCACTCCAAGAATGATGTGTGGTACAAATCAGAGCTTCTCTCAGAGCTCCAGAAGGTGTCATGATTCACATGGAGATTTCTGGATGGTGGAGCTCAGTAACAGCTGTCTTTGACCCAGCTCTGTGCCTTATATAAAAACAGCAATGTCTGCAGGCATTTCCACCTTCTGTATGACAGCATAATGTTTGGACAGAGCTGCTTATTTATTCTGCATCCCATACTCATCCAGACTAAAACCACACTTTGTCACCTGGGAAAGGAACCAGTATTCTATAACACCCCTTTCATGAGTCCAAGAGCCCTGCTCTTTCCCTTTCCAGCCCTGCAGGCTTCCACCCTTTGATGTGCTCATCCTGTAGCTCTCTGGCAAAGTCCTTCACGTTGCTTGTTTCCATCATGAGCTGGGACACTGCTGGCATACCTCAGCCTGCAGTCTTTACTTACCCTTCTCCTCTTGCCTCCAAACAGGTAGTTTTTGGATTGACTTTGGTTTTAGACTGATTGATTTTAGCTTGTTTTTTCTCTGTGTGCTTTAACCACCTGGTAACTAGACTGAACGCCGCCAACAAACTTTGTCACACTTCTGCTTTTATATTAAACCTACTTTTGCTGCTGATTCTTTGAGCTACCTTAAAACACTGACTCACAACACAGCCTGCTGGGCCAAAGTGCCACCTATGTCCCACAGATAAGAGCAAACAGGCACAGGGACATGCAGCACAACCCCCCAACACACACACACACACACACACACAGAGGTGTTCACAGGGTTAGGCAGCAGAGAACCATGAAAGCAATTCTGAAGACAGACACACCTCCCCTACTTAAAGGCACACATAAAATAGGATTTACCACCCCAAGCCTGAAAGCCACTAGGTCTAAAAGTGACATTCTGCTGGGTAAGAGCAAAAGAACTAAACAATAAAGCAGGGCAGACTTGTGATGCTCACTCTCCATCTCAACCAAAGGGCAAGCAGCACCTGGCCCAGGGCGACAGTACCTGACTCTGCCTCTCGGAGCAGCCACGGCCGGCGCACGATAACAAAGTCCTTTTCGTTGTCCTTCACCTTCTGCCGTTTTGGAGGAAGACAGGACGACGACACCAGCAGGTCCTGTGGTGTGTTTTCATTGCCCAGCTTGTCTTTTTTAAGGGCTGACACTCCCATACCCGAGAGAAGCTCCGAGGTCTTGCCGGGGTCCCATTCCAAGCTGGTGGAAACATTAGCGCTAGAGGACGGGATCTCCTGGAGGTGCTTTCTGCAGACACAGCAAAACCCAGAGGCTCTGAGGGCACTGCCAGACTGACACCAAACACAGGATGGGGATCCTTGAAGCATTTCAGTCACTCGCACTCCACATCAACAGGAAGGGCGACTAAGTGCGGGACCGGGAGCGGAGGCAGCGCCCACGGCGCAGGCGTGCGCTCGCTCTGGCAGGCTTCGGGAAGAGCCCGCCAGGGATGGAGCGCGCCCCGCTCCCGGATGGGGCGGGCGAGGGACCGGGGAAGGGAGCCAATGGAGGCGGCGGGACACGGCAGCCTCCCAACCCAACAGCACCGACCCGGGACACGGCAGCGGGCAGAGCCCTCGCTCGGCGGGACGGGGCGCCCGGGCGGGAGGGGAAGCTGTCCCCGCGGCTGCCGGGACACAGCCGGCCCGGGCACAGCCCCCCCGCTGCCCGGGACCACCCGCGGTCTGATCCCGGCACCGCTCCCACGCCCTGGAGCTCCTTCCCGCTCCCCCGGCTCCCACACCCGCTCCCCCGCGCAGCCCCTCAGCCACCCCCGCGCAGCCGGGCCGCCCCAGAGCACCCGCGAGGGCTCACTCGCAGCCCCGGCACCGCGGGGCCCCCGCGCAGCCCAGCAGCGGTGCTCGTATCGCCGTGTCCCGGCGCATCCCCGTGTCCCGGTGCTCCCGTGTCCCGGTGCTCCCGCGCCCCGCGCTCCCGTACCTGTACATGGCGCTGGGAGGCCCACGCGCGCCGCCGCGCGCCCCCCGCCTTTCAGCACCGCGCCATCCCGGCGCCGGCCGGAAGCCGCAGCGGCGGGAGCGCAGAGGCTGCCGGGAGCTGTAGTTCGCAGCCCCGTGCCCGCCCGGAGGCGGGGCCGTGCCGGGCCGGCGGCGGCGGGCGGCGAATGGCGGCGGCTCGGACGCGGAAGAAGCCGGGAGCGGCGGCCGTTCCTTGCGCCACGCGGCAGCCGCTGGGCGCGACCGCTGTGACAAGGACGCGGAGGGAAGGATGGTCGCCGGGCGGTGCTGGGCGAGGGCTCCTTCGTTTCCAGGCCGTTATCCCGAGCACTGCCCGCCCGTCAGGGACCCCGGGCACGTAGCGCGGGGCGGCGCTGGCTCCGTGTGCCCGCAGCTCCGCGCGGTGCCGCACAGGCCTGGCGCCGGGGAGCGCTGGCACATTCCACCCTGGAAGGTTTTCTCCGGGAACACCTGAAACGGGCCCTGTGTGGCTGGTCCTGACCCTCACCGGGCTTGTTCGAAACCCGCCGTCTTTCCACACCGTGTTTCACAGCCCGCGGGACTTCCAGCAATGCAGCTCTCCCTGCGCGTCGTTTTGGGTTTTTTTATTTTCTTTTTCTTCTTTTTTTTTTTTTTTTTTTTTTTTTTTTTTTTTTTTTTTTTTTGGAGAGCTAATTCTGAACACACCTACAGCCCCGCTCTTAGTCAACCACTTCCTTGCAAATGCTGTTCTTTGTTTACTGCATGGCGATGGATGGAGGGACGTGCCTGTAAAATTGAGGGTGGTAATGGAGCCCGTAGCGAAGAGCGCACAGCTTCCAGTCACATGCACAGAATGATGTGACTCAATTTAACATCCATGTAATCTTTAAAAAAGTATCTTTTAAACGTTTCCGGTTTTAACTTAAATCATGGAACAGTAGTTATTTAAGATTATTTAAGCAGATAATCTGATGAAAAAGAGGTGGAGTTTTGGTTTAAAAAAAAAGCTGAGTTTATTCACCTCTTTTGCAGTCCCTTTTTTCTTTGTGAATCATGCCACTCTTCTTTATTAATGTATGGGAAATGAGAAGAGTGTTTTGTGGAAAATCCAAGTGTTTTTTACAGTCTGGAAATTAACAAATAGTCTGTTTGCCTGAATGCAGTGTTGGGGCAGTAGTCATGTGACGGCCTTACTGACACCTGCTTTGTGCGAGTTCATTAGTCTGGTAGCCCAGATCGTGATTTCTGTTCTTTTTTTAGATTCTGCATGCAACTGTACAGTGCTTGTATGTGATTCTATTTCAGTTCCTCCGATAAATGAGTTGTTTTCTTCTATGTGTTATTTTCAGCATACTTCCCTAAACTGTGTAAAACCTTCAGCCTCTCTGGTACTTAATATATTAAAAATTGGACTTGATGGTCTTTGGGATCTTTTGCAACCGTAAAGATTCTGTGATCCCTTAGTAGAGGACCAGGCAGCACTATGTAAAGCAAATGAGTTTGCTGTTGTTTTGTACTGTGTTCCTTGGTCAAGCATTTGTCTTGCTTTTAGTGCTACTGTCTGGACCCTAGTCTCCTGCAAAATCAGAGTGTACTGCTATTCTGGGTGATATCAGCATAGCATTTTTTTTCAATTAAAATATGGAAAACTTGTTTCCCTAAACATTGAACTATTATCAATTAAATATAGATTTATCTATATTGATTAAATGTTTAGGCAATTTAGAATTTCTCTTCATTATGAAATAGTTGAACTAACAGGTACTAATAAAGTATCAATTAGTATATAGACTGACTAGTGTGTCTTAGAAGAACAAAGCCATGCAAATTGCTTTCTTCACTAATCTCAGAGGTTTTTTCTCTCAAATAGTGCAGTCAGATAATTTCTCTGGTTGGTTTTCTTGGGCAGTTTGTGGCTATTTTCTTTCTTTTGATAGCTTTCTCAGTGTACAGATATAAAGCAGCTCTTTGTTTTCTGTTTATAAATACTTACTATTACCCCCAAGCTGTAAGGGCCACTGTGTAATAATAAAGTAAACAGAAAAACCCAGACCAACCAAAGGGAAAAAACCAAAACCCACGATGCCACCCCTCCCCTAAACCTGAAACCAACGTAAAAGAAATCCCCACAACACACTATGCAGACTTGAATACTAAAATAGCTGAAGGGACTACTTGTGTTGTTTCTTTGCCTCTTGTTGTTCTCTGTTTATGAGTTCTGAAATATGTTAGCCCATTTTGTTGTTTTAAGATGGAAGTATCAAGGATTCTTAGTGTGGGGCAGTTCTATCAGTACTAAAGGCTGTAGTCTACTACTGCATGTTGGTAGAGAAAAAATCTTTCTCTATGATTCTTAGCAGTGTAATTCTGCTGAGCAGGGCAGGCTTCATCATCCGAACACTGGGTTTTTTTTGCCAAGTGAAATGTGCTCAGTAAGAGTAAGAACCAGCAGATTATTCTCTGCAGAAAGGTAGAAGGTCATAATTGAGCTGGCCATTGATATATTGCTGGAGATGGCGACTTTTGTACTTGCAGGTGAGCTGGGAATTCAGCTTGAGGTGGCAGATACTGTTGCCCAGATATTTTTTTTTAATATGTTAAGGCTCTCAGTTCTGTTGCTGACTGTATCTGATAATCCCTTTCATAGTTTGGCAGCTTTTTTGGTGACAGGTTTTCTTCAGATGTAGTTATGATCTTTAAAAATACAAAGTAAGGCTGCTTGGTTTTTCAGGTGTTTCAGCTGAAATATCCAAAATGTCTAGAAATGCAGCTTTTCCAAATTTGTTTGATCTCTACCTGAGAATGCTTGAAGAACAATAAAAAAAAATTTGTTAGTATTCTAGAAATGTCTGAGGTACCAGACAGGAAAACCAGAAGCATGGTGGCTGTCTTTATTAGTAATGTTTGAAGGACAGGCAGAGCTACAGGTTGACAGATTCCTCTTCAATTCTTCTGGAATTCCTGAAAAAAAATTTCTGGTGCTAAAACTATTTGTAAGTACATAGAATATGTACTTACGAATAGGTGAGTAAAAGACAGCATGAGTTTGTCAAGGACAAATAGTTGAAGTAATCTAATCTATTTAAGTAATGACTGATAGACCTACTGTATTCAAGAGGATCAGTTTATAATCTTATGTATTGCTTAGTAGGACTTTGATTGTTCCTTAGGGTGTTTTTTCTTGGGAAAGAAAGCCGGGAAGAGCCACTGTTGCGGCTATGGAGGGAATTCCCTTGTCAAATACTTTTAATGTTTTTCAGAGTTTCTCTAATGAAATAGTATGGTGATTAAAACTATAGAAGGCACAAAACCTGAGAGATTTCAGGTCTTTCTGAAAGTGGTAGTGTAAATCAAAATACCTTAAAGATCTGGAAACTTGCAAGGGGGAGCGGGTACACCTGAGCAGAGTTTTGTTCCTGTGTTAAGCCGGAGCAATCAACGACAGAAACACAGGATAGAGAAGTAATGTTGTGTTTCCTGGAGGGAAAGAATTTGGAGGCCTTAAGAAAGCTGAATGTGTGAAGGAAACATTCTATTTCTATTTATACTTTATAGTAAGGCATGTGAAGCAGTGTAGAATGTCTGTTCAAGCCTCCTCAGGCATTTGGTGGGAGACTGGGGGAATCCTTCATAGATATGCTTTACTCTTTCTGGCCTTTCTTTAAGAATATAGTACTGGAGGGTCTTTGTTAAATTTGGTGCTGTATTAAAGCTCTGAGAAAGTTTGGGGGTTTTAATTCTCTGCTGTTTCATTTAGTAACTTGAGATTTCTGTACCAGGCAGGGTAGTTAGTTAATTTGTAATGTAGATATCATGAGTGCAGTTACTCTTAGGTTGGCAGGGTAATTTAATACTGTTGATAGTAGGGAGTCTGTCATATAAAGGGAATTAAGTCTGAACTGAGCTATTTATGATGCATGCAGTGTTAGTAGGTGGGTAAAATTAAAAACTTAGCTGATTTTGTCTGTGCCTTAAAAGAAGCAGGAAAATCCTAAGCTAACACAAGAGCATGTCCTTATGTTTTATTGGTTAAGTTGCACTTCTCATGCCAATGTTTCAGCTTTTAATCTTATTTGTATTAATGTGTAGTTGCCTGGTTGTTCAGAAACTGAGTATGCCCATAAATACTTCTCCATTCACCGTGAGGGCTCTTGTTTCTTTGTCATTGCTTTGATAGGAGCATCTTCTAAGCCATTGAAGGCTCTACAGTACAAGAGAACTCTCCTGAAGTGGTTATTTCAGGACAACATTTTTTTTTAGCAATTCTGGAATTTCAGTCAGCTGATACTAGGTAGCCGTATGCCAATAGTGAGATGGCTGTCTAAATAAAGTGATGAAACAGGATGATAGGTAAGAAGCTTACCTTTCTTTGAGCTAACCACCAGGTTCAGTGGCAAATGCTGCTTTCCTCAGGAGGGCATGGCTTTATAACCTGCAGTAATGTATTTTAAGGTTTCATTCTAGTAGCACAGGTCCTAGAGATATGTCTCATAGTACAAAGAGGTGTCTGCACTGTTGAGTTGGATTTAGTTCACTGAAGAACTCCTCTCAGGCATTGCATTTCTCACTTTGTGGATTTTCTTCCATTTAATCTTTCTATGTGGAGAGCTGGTTTTAAATGGTTTCTATCTAAAAATTTTAAACTGTTATTTTGAAAATGTGAATACATTAATTTAAAACAACTCTGTTATTAGTCTCAGTCTTTTGAAAAACAGGCCTTTCTTTTTGTGTTTTGAGATTAAAATAGGAACCAGAGAAGAACATAAAGATGTAGTTTACTGATGACTGCAAAGTCACTTCTGTCTTTGAAAGCAAGTTAAGTTGCAGTAGGAATCAATTCCCCCTTTATTTTAGCATATTCAGTACATTTTTATAATACTTCTGGAAGTACCCTCGTGATCGTAGCTGAGTGCAGCATCTTGCACAAAAACTTTTTGCCTTTTGTTTTGGTAGAAGCTTTTTAGGTGTGACTGTAATAAAACTTTGTGACTAATGAAGTGTATGCTGTATAATTTTTTTGTTTATGTAGCAAAAGGTGTGGCTGTAATGGACACGAAAAGCTGCATGCCAGATAGTAGTGCCTTAATGAAGCTGATATGTAATTTTTTTGTTACTTTTGCTTCTGTGGAATTGGCTGCTATACTGTAAATTGAAAAGGCTTTTCTGAGGAAACAATAATCATACAATGTAATAGTCAAGGACTTGCTTTGAATAAGTGATTGAGAAATATATGAGATATTCTGAGTTTTTAATGTACAAGTGATTTAGCTAAAGTAGAGTACAGACAAATAATAAGGGGATAATTTGTCTTAATGGAAGTGTTGATAGCTTGATAAACATGTTTGATGAAAGGCAGAAAGGAAAAAGTGTGTGAATCTTTGACTAGAAACAAGAAGGTAACTCATTGGGGAGAAAAAAGAGTCACAGAATAATTGTTCCTGTGTGTCTTTGTGTCCTCAAGGTAGTAATGGCATCACAAACTTTAAGAGTTTTTTTAATGTAAATAAGAGAGTTTTCCCTGCATAGTGCCCTGAAGCGTAATAGATCTGCTTAAGCAGTTTACTGAGAAATTAATAAAAGCAATGGTTCACTTTACCAAGTTCTAAAGAGATTTAAAAGTAAGTAGAGGGGAATTTCAGTAATAGCATTTCTTTTAAATCTCTGGGAAAGTGAAAGTGCTGGAAGTCTTAACAGCAAAGCCATAGCAAAAACTATTTCACTTAAATCAAATCAGTGAATTGTTAATCTTGATGGAGAGACAAGTCACACTGGCCACAGTAATAAATGCGGGTTTTTTTAATAATGCATAAAATCTGTGTGATAAAATTATGCTTGTTAAAAAGGTCTGAAGCAGTTTAAATAAAAATGTAGCAAGTCAGTGAAATTTTCTGTAGTTGGTTTGTGCAGCTCACTGTCCCTTTGTGTCACAGCTTATCTGTATGAAGCTGTATGAACTTTCTTACAGTCGTCCTGACTGTAACAGAGTAATTATACACAGAAGGACAAGCAAAGCAAAAATACATCATGGCAAACTATACCAAATGAATTGAGACCCTTGTTTGTCTGAATAGCACCTGAGGAGTAGGAAGGTGAATTGAAATTCTTGAAATTTCAGACCTCAAAGAGGTGCATTACAAGTAGACTAACACATTCTTTGCTGTGTTTTTATGCTCTGTTAACTCTTATGTACAGATTTTAAATATGTATTTGAGGTACACTCCATTACAATGTTGTTCATTAGCTATCCAGAAACAATTAATTTAAACATTTAACCCTTTAAAAAAATTAGGTGATTCTGAAAGGAGAGAAAAAAAGCAGAATAGATTTTCATCTTGAAATTTGTCCTGGACCTAAAGTTGGGCTAGTAGTCTATTTAAGGACAGATTTGCCTCCTGGATCTATTGTATATCAAGATGATGAACAGCAGTTCTCCTGGATATGTTGCTGGAAACAACAGCATTGAAATGACATGTTTTGATTTCTTCAGAGGACTTCAGGACATCTTGCTGAAAATCTTTTTCTGATAAGAATCCTTATCAGGTCACGTGAAATATGAAAAGTTGGTTAATATGTTTTGAAGTGTTCATTGAACAACTCTTCTGTGTAAATATCTTCCAGAGATTTTAATGTAATTCAATGTCTTTTTGTCGTGCAGTTCTGATCTGCTTTCCCAAGTGAGTGTGGTGTGGCCAAGGCCAACATTTAACAATGAGTGGTGCAGCGTTGGGCCTTGAGATAGTGTTTGTCTTTTTCCTGGCCTTATTCCTACTTCACCGGTATGGAGACTTCAAGAAACAGCATAGGCTGGTGATCATAGCAACATTGTTGGCTTGGTATCTCTGCTTCCTGATTGTATTCATACTGCCTCTGGATGTCAGTACGGTAAGAAATGTGCAGGACTTCCTGCTTAATTGCATCAAATGTTTATGGTATTTCTCTAAACTAATGATTGCAGGAGAACATATCTTAGAAATACCAAAGAAATCTTCTATACGATGTCTTTATAAATTAAACGTAACAATGCCTTGTGTTCATAATTAATTTTACTTTTTGTTGGTCTCATCAGATAAATTTTTTTCAAAATAAATGAATGAAATTTAAAAATTATCTCATTTGTAACAATTTTTTAATCTTTTTTGGCAGCATAAGGACACTTTCAGCATTTTACTTACTTGACTGCTGATTGCATGTTGATTTGAATGTGTATTGTTATAATTAATTCCAAATGTAAACCTGGAGGACAGGAAATGTCTTTAAAATAGGACTTACTACTTTTAAATAAGTACTATACCTCTTTGGTCACTGATATAAAATAAATTGTCTTTTAGACTATTTATAATCGATGCAAGCTTGCGGTTAACTCCAGTCCTGCAGAAAGTAATGGCTCTTATGTTACTCTTGCTCCAAGGTATGAACTACATGTTTTGTTTTTTTCTTTAGACTGTTTTTTATGATTTTCTTTTTTTAATTGACAGCATATTGTGTTTTTAACACTGATGAATAAGTGTTATCTGTGTGATGCAAATTTTGAAATTTGTAAATACACAGAACTGTGAGGGAAAAGGTGATGAAAAGTGGATCTTTACCTGCTGGCAGTAATTACCTAGTAATTATGTAATAATTCTAGATGATTACCCAACTGTTCTTTTTTATGTCACTAGATTTCCTTTTTTTTTGTTAAAGCAATAGGACTAAGCTTTTTGAGCAATCTTGGTTACGAGGAGAGGCTTTGATGAATGCTTATCCTTTACAATCTTAAAGACTTTAAACCTGAAAATCTAATTTTATACCTTTAATTTATACCATATGAATGAAATCAGCTGCTTGTCTTATATGTCAGGGGCATATCTAATTTCTTCTTATGATTTCATATATATGGTAATTGCAGTTGTCTGAAATGTGCTGTATTACACCAAAGTAATGGTAGCCTGCTAGGTGTGTCCTGGCAGGAAGAAAGTAATCCCTAATCATGGAGAAGTAGGTGGGCTAAGGTGGGCTCATTCCATGGCTGCCCATCCGTCATCCTACACTGGCTGTTCCCCATGTTACTGATGTGTACAGTGTAGTTATCTGTGAGATGATCTGAGCCTTTAAGATATCAGCTGAGATATCTGTGCAAAGTCTTGCCAGTCTTTCTGCCCCAAAGAGGGCACTGGAAGAATGGTGAAATGACAGTCACACAATATTGCACCCTATACTTAAGACCACCCAGTGGATGTTAATTAAACCTATTTAATTATATGCACAATTTGAAAACTATTTAGTAACCTTTCAATTTATCTATAGCTTCAGACAAACTTATTTTTTTAGAATCACAGAATGGTTTGGATTGGGAGGGACCTTAAATATTATCCAGTTCCAATCTTCTTCCAGGGACAGGGACATCTTCCACTAGGCCAGGTTGTTCCATCCAACCTGGCCTTGAACACTGTCAGGGTTGGGGCATCCACAGTTTCTCTGGGCAGCTTGTGCCAGTGCCTCACCACCATCACAGTAAAGAATTTCTTCCAAATCTCTAATTTAAACTTGCCCTTTGTCAGTTGAAAACCATTGCCCCATGTCCTGTCACTTTGCCTATATAAAAAGTCAATTTCCTTCCTTTTTATAACACCCCTTTAGTTACTGGAAGGTGCTGTAAGTTCTCCTGGCACCTTCTCTTCTCCAGGCTGAACAGCCCCTGCTCTCTCAGCCTGTCATAGAGGCTTCAGCAGCTCTCATAGGAGAGGTGCTGAAACCTTTAGTCATACTACCTGTCATTCTGTCTTAAGTTGATAGTTTTGAAAATATTTAGGCCAGGCACATAAAAACTTACAACTCAGGCTTAACTAGTTTGACCCTGGAAAATACCAATTATTTCTTATTAGGTAATCTCATCTAAGTTGACTTTATTGCCCCTTGACTCACCCTGGCTTCATTGCCCAGACAGGTGTGTGGAAAAAAACCAAACTATCTTAGTTTAGATGGACACCTTTTCCTCTGTTCTTTTTTTTTTTCTTTTTCTTAAAAGTGCTCATAGAACTTTTCTGTCTTCTGTAGTGAACACTACCTGTCAGAAGAGTATTGGCTTATTGAATCAAAATTTATATAAGACTGACTTAATCCAGCTGGGTGGCAGAAGAAGCAACTAATAAGTTCTTTGTATGACTAAGTGCTCTGGATGATGATATGCCTAGATATTTTTTAAGAATCTACACTAGCTAAAATTTAATGCTTCTCTGTTTAAACAAGTGTTCTTTCTATGCATGAAATAATTACTACTGAAACCCAAAAACTGTGGTATTCAGTCTTGGAGCTTCTGGGTTTTTTTCTCCTCTAAAGATGTCCTGTCCAAATACATTATTTGTGGTTAGGAAAATGATAAATATTTCAAATGATTATTCAGTTTATTTATTCGGGAGATGGTTGATTGTTGACTATGTACTTGAATAGTATTGTACTACTTCTATGTTCTTTTCAAAAAGCTTTCTAGATAGGAATTTATTGAAGTTGCTTTTTATACTCAGGGCTCTACAACTAACAATAGTCTTCTTTACATTGTAACAGCAAGCAAAAATGTTTCAAACCATGGAGTTATATTCCTGATGGAATTATGCCAATTTTCTGGCGTGTTGTATATTGGACATCTCAGTTTTTAACATGGTAAGTAAGGCAAAAGAATATTGCAAAGAGTATGATGCAGTTTTTAAATGGACCATCTTAACAGTCATAGCATTCTTTAAAAATGTATATCAGTATGGCAAAGAGCATTTAAATTGTATATTATTTGCTAGTAGTGAAATTTCGGTAATAATTACTATACTAAGTCATATTCTTTTTTTTTTTTTCTTGCTTCTGTGGAAGCAACTTTCAGGTGGCAGCCGTTTATCCTTGGTTCACTTTTGTAGTTGAAATTAAGCAATTTATATGTGTCGGTGTTTACTGATAGATTGTCTAAAAAAAATGTGTTTTAGGCAACCAGATACCAAAATAATTCCATTAATAATTTGGGTGATTTTTAAGTGATATTGTAAATTAGTTGGTTTTATCATATATATTGCATAAAGCTTTGGCTATAGCTACAGAAGAAAGATTTGTCTGTGGGGTTTTGGGTTGTCTGTGCTTTGTGCGGTTTCTGATCAACCTGTTATCAAATAATTATTTTTGTAGTTTCAAGGATATCAGGGTTGGTAGTTCATTCTTATTAATCACAGATTTTTCATAGCAAAGCTAACTGTATTGTTTTTATCTGCAGCTTGTGTAAGGTTTGCCATCAGACAGGTACATCTAGAATAAAAACATCTAAGTAGCTAATTTCTTAGAAGCTTGGGAATCTCAAACTTAACACCCCTGCCTCAGTAACCTGACACTGCTAAAGTTCTTTTTTGGGGAGGTTGGTGGTTTGGGTGTTTGGGAGATTTTTTTGGTGGGGGTTGGTGGGTTTTTTGTTTTCTTTTTTTTGTTTTTTTTTTTTTTTTTAATTGGTTGATGTTGTTTTGTTTTGTTTCCTTTTTCCCTAGGATTCTGCTACCTTTCATGCAGTCATATGCTAGATCAGGAGGGTTCTCCATCACTGGAAAGATAAAAACTGCTTTGATTGAGAATGCCATCTATTATGGCACTTACTTGCTGATTTTTGGAGCATTTCTAATATATGTGGCTGTAAATCCAAACTTCAATTTACAATGGTAAGAATAATGTTGTAAACATTTCCATGAGTTCTTACAGAATTGTTATGGGCAATTTCTTCTGTGGACAAAATGCGTCTTTCTGAAAAAACTAGTTTTAGTTACAGTATTTTGCTAGTCAGAAGATTGTTATCTTTTTATATGAAAGGGGCTTTTTTGAATATTTTTAGAAACTTGGGGTTTGTTTTTCTGGTTTTCGTATATACAGCAGAGGAATCATCTTGTATTTACAATGCCACTTTTTTTCTCCATACAAACACATTTGTAAAGTTAGTGTAAAACTTGCAGTGTTTTCAGAACAATATATTTCGAAAAATCAGTATTTCCTATGTAGTGCATCTAAATACTGTAGACTTTAAAGGTGAAAAGGAAAGTTAAAATAACTGGCATCTATAAATTACTTATAGTCTTCCATACCAGATGGACTAAAAATCTGAATACAAATTTCTGAACGCAATATTCTGGAGACAAATCTTGGGTTCTGAGTTTGTATCTTACAGTGACTGGCATTGTGCTATTTTGACCTCACTGTCAGTAGGTTTGGTAAGTTCATCTTGTTTCCTAAGGGAACATATTCCTTTAGGAGAACAGTTTCTTTGAGAACAACAAACAAATTCTTATCTGCCATCCACAGTGGGCAGAACAGGAGTTACAGGAAAATTGTGGCAAGTTTAAATACGGCTAAGGAGCACACTGGCTCCAGGCAAAAATCTAGGTGATGACAGTCTGTTCCTGTAAACTTGAAAGCCATTTTGGTTCATATTGATACTTCAAAGCTGGTTTCTTGCAGCCAGGATAGGAGGGTCTTGTTTGTTTGAGTTTTTAATACTGTTTTGTTTCCTTAGGAACCAGCTTCAGACTATTGGAATAGCTGCTGCAAACACATGGGGTCTGTTCCTTCTTGTTTTGCTTTTGGGTTATGGTTTGGTGGAAATCCCTCGTTCTCACTGGAATGGGGCCAAGAGGGGTTATCTTCTCATGAAGACTTACTTCAAAGCTGCCAAACTGATGACTGAAAAAGCAGATGCAGAGGAGAATTTAGAGGATATTATGGAGGTAAGTAACTAGCTTTACCTGTGGAAAAAAGTGAAGGCTGCTGTTAGTTGTGTCTAAATTCATTGGTGTTGGACACTTGTAGCGTGAGCTTACTGCGAAATATCTGTAAACTAAGAAAATTATCACAGTGTGCCACTTTATAACTCTCAATCCTATGCAAAAGTCAAAACAGAAGTAGTCCTTGCTGTGATGAACTTAAAAGTCATAGCAAGTTCACTTACCTTTTATGAGACATTTAGTAAAACTATGGCTTTTAGGAAGCTGTGGTTTTTTTAAGCTTTGATGGCTGTCTGTTGGGAGGGCTGCAACTCTAATTGACCAGTAAAAATTTATGGTTAATGAAAAATGTTTTTAATTGACATTTTTAATATGGCATAGTTAAACTACTCTGTTATTTTTTCTCTCAACAGGAAGTCCGTAAAGTAAGTGAGAGTATCAAATATAACCACCCCTTGAGGAAATGTGTTGATACAATACTGAAAAAGGTAACCAATTATTTATCTTCAACCATAATTATTCAGCTGGGAGGAGGTGCTTCTTGCATATGCAGAATACTTGTACATTACTTTCTTTTGCTCTTAATATAAAATCTCTAGTTGACATCTTCTGTTGAGACTGAAATATTTCCTTATGACGTATGGAATCAGATGTATTTTGACATAGCATTGTAGAAAGAGAGGAAAGCTTAGAGTGAGCTTTTCAGTTGCATGAAATGCCCCAAACTTTTACAAATAAAAGCTGCTTGCTACTCTTTTGTCTCCCAGTTAATTTTCCCTTTTCCTTCCAGTGCCCTACTGAGTACCAGGAAAGAATGGGTAGGAACATGGATGATTATGAAGATTTTGATGAAAGACAAAACAGTTATCCCAGTGAAAAAAGTTTGGCCAAACTTCACAAGCAGGTATATAAATAGATGGGAGAATGCCTCACTTATGCTATTGTAGTGAGAGTAAATGCTGGTCAAGGATTTTGAATGCACTTCATCTGGACTGTTGAGTACAGTGGATTTATGCTACTTAACAGAAACTTTTTTTGGTGAGAGAAAGCACAGACATTTAATATCCCAAGTGATCAAAGTTCTGGATGTGTAAATAGTGTTCTTGTGTTGTATCTTCACACTGTTATAGCTGTCTGTGAATAAGCCTTGTAATGGTTGACTGACAGTGCATTCTGAAAAAGAAATTACAGTAAAAGCTTGATATTTACTGAGATGCAAAAATGAAGTGGTAGGTTGGGAAGAGTAGGATTTAACTGCTGCAGGTGGTTTGTGATGACTGAGCTGCAAAACTCAGTAATCGCGTATGTAGTACTTCCATGATTTATGTATTTTAGAGAATTACCTACCTGCTTTTTTGAAGATACAGTTTCTACAGTTCTGCAATGCACACATTTTCAAGGGATTTTGCAAGGATTTTCCACCATTTTTTGAAACAAGTACCTTGAAACCCTAATTTCTTGCAATTTATTGTAGGTAATCTATTCAGTGCAGAGACATCGTCGTACACAGGTCCAGTGGCAAATTCTTTTAGAGCAAGCATTTTACCTGGAAGATGTGGCAAAAAATGAAAGCAGTGCAACTCGACAGTTTGTTCATACCTTTCATTCCCAGGAACCAGAAAATAAAATTATTCAGTATTTCTACACACCAACGGTTGGTAAGTGCTGTCATGCAGATTTTAGGTATGTTAAGGCATAACTGATACCATTCTGTAAAAAGAACCAATTGTTTTATGTAAAAAGTTCAGCTACAGCAGAGTGAAACAAGTCCGCAATATTAATGTATTTATGTAACGGAAGAGCTATCAGATAATAATTTATGCTCTTGGCCATAAGCCTCAATTTTATTTACAAATTCAGTAGCAGTTATGTGTTGCAATAAAGCAACAGCAAACTTTGAAGCCTGTTGTGAGAGAGTTCTGTTTCTGGTTGTATAATTTTCATTAACCTGTTCTGGATACATATGTGTGTTTGTTTTTTCCAGAGTGGTACTGGGAGTGCCTTCTCCGACCATGGTTTTACAGAGTGCTTGCAGTTGTGCTGGCCACGTTCTCTGTAATTGTGGTGTGGTCAGAGTGCACATTCTTCAGCACAAAACCAGTTCTGTCACTATTTGCAGTTTTCATACAGCTGGCAGAAAAGACATACAATTATATATACATAGAGGTAAGTTGGAGATAATCCCTTGAAAAAACTATTTTCAGATCAATGGTTGTGATAACAGCAGTAGATAAAATTTAATTAAAAATAAATCTCTAAATAATCTGTCAACTTTCACAAGGTCTCTAAATATATAATACCAGACTTTGTTTGTGTGGAGGAAGTCTGCCTTTTCCCACTTGTTAAAACTCAAATACCAGGTGCAGGCATGACGCAGCTGGCCTGAATATCGTGTAGAGTAATTTCTGAAACATTAGGTTGGAAGATAGGTGTTAATTAGACTTTCTGTCTAAAAATCCATGTGTGTGACCTCAGTTTCCTAAACAGGAGTTTGCAAATGACCAGGAATCCAGTCAAAGGTGTGGCTAGCATATGTGTGCACAAATTTATCAGTAAAGATACCAAGCTGAAAAATTCCAGTATACTTAGCAAAGGCTGATTTGAAAACACTTGGGTTTATGCCTTTTTTTGTGGGACTAAATGCTACCTCAGTCATGGTAATTATTGAAGCAATAACAGCAATTTTATTTACATCAACAAGAAATAGTAGAATGTTTCTAGGGACAGTTGTGTTAGCTTATGTGTAGAATGTTCTTATTAGAATTTCTGGTTTAAATAGTTCTGAAAAACTCCCAAAATTATTCTCAGAGTTGGTGAAAAATGAAAAATAAAGTCTGGAGATGGTCTCTGCATGTGAGAGGCTATCTGCTGAACACATTAAAACCTTTAATGGAATGCAGCATTTAAGCAACTTAACAACACTTTTTTTTTTCCCCCTAGATGGCCTGTTTTCTTACCATCTTTTTCTTAAGTATCTGTGTTTACTCTACTGTCTTCAGGATCCGTGTATTTAACTATTATTACTTAGCTTCACATCATCAGACAGATGCATACAGTCTCCTTTTCAGTGGCATGTGAGTATTTGGTGTATGTTTTACAGGTGTTCCATTCAAATTCTGAATTGAAAATGTCCATGAAACTGTCATTTACATCCTTTAATTTGTAATTTATGAATGTCATTCCTAATGAGCTCTACATGGTTGTTTTATGATAGATCCAGTTATGATTTTGTAGGTTATGTAAGAAACTCTCTTAAATGCTGTTGCCTCTTGCATTTGTGCAGGTTATTTTGCCGTCTTACTCCACCATTGTGCTTGAACTTTCTGGGCTTGACCCATATGGATGCAACAATCTCTCACAAAAAGACTCAGCCAACTGCTTATACATCTGTAAGTAAGAAAATATGGGTTTGAGCTTTCATTATGGTTTGGAGAATAGACAGAGTATTTTTAAATACATGTTATAGTAAGATTCAGATATTCAAATCTTTTCAATTTTTCCAACAGGGTAAAAAATACTTGGTTATAGGCAAGGAGTTTAGTAATGATTTCTAGAAGTCATCAATAGCTTTTTTTTTTTTTCTCTTTATCTTAAGAAAGTAAAGTATTGTATTTTAGAATTTAGGGTGTTCTTAATTTCCTAATATCAATCCCGTTGTTTTAGCTTTTAGTGGCTTTAGCCTATAGGGCATTCCTATAGATAGGGAATCCTAACTTCCTATTGAAAACCAGTGAGTTTGGTTTTATTGGTTTCTGTGGCAAGTTATGTCTCATGTCTTTGTTGTTAGTAACTAGATTCTTTGTGTTGTCTAGAGACTCTTCACAGCAGATGAAAAAAATCCACTAGATTTGCCCTTGTTCAAGAGTGAGTGAGACTACACTGTCTAGCATTTTAGAAACCTCAGAGTGCTGGAGGTGACCTTTTCATCTGCTTATTCCCAGGCAGATCTGTGATAATATTGCCTTTGTTTTAGTTACTGTGAAGGATTGTGTATTTATGTGAGAAGGCACAATCTTCATGGGTTTATGTAAAATATAGCTAATTAGATCTTGTTCTTGTGTGTTTTTTTCCCTAGATAATGGGATCCATGAGAGTGCTGTCCTTCATTGCAGATGGATTCTATATATACTACCCAATGCTTGTTGTCATTCTTTGTATTGCTACATACTTCAGGTAAGTGATTTGCAAGATAGAGCCTCCATGCTTCTTTACGTTATAAAACTAGTTTAATCTAACTCGGGAAGAGATTCAGTACCCCTTTTTCAGCAGTTGAGTTGTGTCATTCTAACAAAAATGCAAAACCTAAATCCACAGATTGCTATTTATATAGGTGAAACGTGTGCATTTAAAAATACAGATTGGATTAATTCATAACTGAGTTAATTTAAACTTCATTGCTAGATTTTAAGGGATGATCTGTTCAAACTTTGGAGCCTGGGGACACTTAGATTGTGCTTTTGAGATTAAAATTATCATGAGAAAGCTGTTTTCACCAAAGTTTTCTAATAAATTAAGGACCACTAGCAGCAGTTTTAGATATTGAACTTTCTAACAGACTCATATCAAGTTTCTGATGTTATCAGACTTCTGGTAACACATACTGTATTAAGTAATTTGATCTTGTTTCCCTAAACCACAGTTTGTTGGAGGCTGGAAGGGTAATTGTGGAAAACATTTGTACATTCTTGCTTTATAATTTCAAAATGTCTGCTTTTGATCACTGTAAGGGATGAGATACTTTTAGTCTGATCTTGCTGAAATACACATTTATGTTATTGTCTTCAATTCTACATTACCATTCAGTCAGAAGCAATCTCTGTGTTTTCAGTCAAGTACAATGTAGTGAAATACCTTGGTTATGCATTAATATTGTACGTATATCTATAGATAGTAAGTAACAAGTATCTAATTGTGAGTTTTCCCTGCTTACCTTAAATTTAAGTGACAAAAGTGGTGGTGGAGCTAAAAAACAAACAAAACAAACAACAAACAGGAAAGCAAATAGCAAGAAAAGAGAAGTTTGACCTCTTGTCCATCATGATCATCCTGGAACTTGAATGCCAAAGTGAAAAGGAAGAATAGAAATTAAAGGAGAGAGGGTTGCTTTAATGACTTCTGCTAGTAAAGATAGATGCAAAAACAAAGGTTGAATTAAAATCTGTTGAGGAAAGCTGAGTCTCCTGTGTTTAATCCAGTAGTCTTAAGGTAGTATAAGGAAAAAAATATATCAATACTCCAGTTTGGAGGAAGGAAAACAGTACTAAAACAGCAGTTGTGTTTTCTGTTGTGAAGTTGAAAAGATGGAAGTGATTTCATGCTATGTAGTTCCAGGACTGGCTTTAAAAAGGTGGAACAAGCTTGCTATCTGACTGCTGCCAATGGGTATCCAGAAGGGCAGCCAGCATCCCTACAGCTTAAAAGTATGCAGAACACGTTCTCCTGAGTGAAACCCTGAGGTGAAAGTGGATTTCCTGTATTATTACTGTTTGAAAAACAGAGAAGTTAGAATAAAGAGAATTTTTATAGTAATTGTATTCTGGCAAAGAAGAGTTGATGACATATTGTAGGTACAAATTCTATCGTATCTGGGAACATTTAAAGCAAGCGTCTCACATTAGACACATTTAAAGCAAGTGTCATTTGCACTACTCTCAGACTATATGCATTTTAATGTCTGTACGAATAGGGTTATTCTATCACTTCCAATTGTATTTAGGAGTGTGCTACTGTTCTGGGTCACCTAGGTCATCCTGCTGTTCTAGGTCACCAGTTACTGTTCTGAGTTCTGAATTTTCTGTTTTCTCAGCTGGTATAATAGTCTATCTTTCCTTCTTTGTTTTTCCTTCTTACTTGGATTGTTCATACAGTTCTGAATAGTTTGTTTTACATTGTGTCCTGTAATGTATATAAACTACTAATTGTAAACTAACAAAGGAAATTGCTTCTTCTTTTACCAGTTTAGGAACTCGTTGTTTGAATCTTTTGGGATTCCAGCAGTTCATGGGTGATAGTGAAATGACCTCTGATTTGATTGATGAAGGAAAAGAGCTAATCAGAAGAGGTAAATTAGGCCTTCTGTCATAATCTCCCTGTAAAATTATACTACCATAGAGTCCTCAAGGCTGGAAAAGACCTCTAAGATAGAGTCCAACCCTTAATCCAGCACTGACAAGTTCACCACTGAACTACGTCCGCAAATGCCACACCTGCACATCTTTTAAATATCTCCAAGGATGGTGACTCAAGAGTTCCCTGAGCAGCCTATTCCAATGTCTGACAACCCTTTCAGTGAAGAATTTTTTTCCTAATACCCAAACTTCTGTAGCACAACTTCAGGCCATTCCCTCTTACCTTGTTGTTTGTTACTTGGGAGACCAGCCCCTACCCCACTACACCCTCTTATTAAGGAGTTGTTAAGTGATAAGCTCTCCCCTGAGCCTGCTCTTTTCCAGGCTAAACCATTCCACCTCCTTCAGCTGTGTCTCATCAGACACATGCTCCAGACCCTTCCCCATCTCCATTACCCTTCTCTGGACTCACTCCAGCACCTCAATATTTTTCCTGATTTGAGGGACCCAGAACTGGACACAGGATTTGAAATTTGGCCTCTCCAGTATCCAGCACAGAGGGACAGTCACTGCCCTGGTCCTGCTGGCCACACTCCTGCTGATACAAGCAAGGTGCCATTGGCTTTCTTGGCCACTTGGGCACACCCTGGCTCATGCTCAGCCACTCTCAGCCAGCACTGCCAAGTCCTTTTCCAACAGGCTGCTTTTCAACTGCTCTGTCCCAAGCCTTCAGCATTGCATGGGGTTGTTGTGACCCAATTGAAAATTTAAAGGAAAGTGGTTTGGTGAGCATTTTGACCAGCTCCCTCTGTCCTTTTGGGTTGATCCCATCTGGCCCCACAGACCTGTGTCTGTCCATGTATTTCTTAAAGTTGCAAAAGAAAGTATTTCTTAAAAAGTTGCAAAAAGCCATTGTAATTTTTGAATGAATGTTTAGAAATTAAAATTTCTGGATACAGTGCTATATTATGGAATACCTTTATTCCCACAGTCGATGAAAAACAAAACCTGGGTTTACTTATAGTAGTATGGTTTTTTTTGGAGAAAGACCAAAGTTTCATTCCCTTAAATAAGAGGTGATGACATTGATATGTAATTTTATACTTCCAGCTTTATAACAGATAGGACACAAAGTAATTGGGTCACAGGGTAATCCCCCAAAGTAGCTGGGCCTCACAGAATTTCATGAAGTTTTTGATTCAAAAATGCTGAAGTTTTTCCTTAATTTCTTTTTCTTAATATCACACTTTCCCAGTTATTTCTAAGGGTTTGTTTGATTTTTTTCTTCTTTTTTTTTTTTGCTTTGCCAGCTGGTATCCAAATGTTATGCTGTGATCCAAGATAACATCATGACAAAATAATTTGGATGGGAAATTCCATAATGATAGACAAGCAGCTTTTTGTTTTTGTTTAATTGTAAAAGTCATGTATTTCAATAAGAATCTTCATTAATTGACTTCAGATTTTCATTGTTTATTTTTTTAAATGCTAATGATTTTCCATATATGGAGCTCAGACAAAGTTCTTTTTTCATTTTTAGAGAAAAGAAAACGACAGAGGCAGGAGGAAGGTGAAAACAGAAGAAGGGTATGAGATTTGTTTGGCTCATTATAACATTATACTGCAATATTTGATAGGATTTATCATGGACATTTAATTCAGAATTACCTATTTCACAAAAAAGAGTCACAAATAATTTATGGAATCAGTTTAATCTTGCTGAATAGTCTTGATTAGGAGTTATTTATAGAAGGTTAGAGGACAATTTTAATTACACTACTTGGACACTACTGTTACTTAGTGATGATGTGGTGTATGCCAATATGTACAACAAGCATTAAAAAGGGTCCTGATTACTAGGATACAGAATAATCTAGAATGGCATATTACCAGTCTCTTATACTGATACTGCTCTGCTTGAAATAACTGCAGTTGCAGAGTTGTCATACTGAAATGTGGACTCCTCCCAAATTTATTGTTTTGTTTGCTGATTGGAAAGTCATAGGCACAGGTTTTATTTTATTTTTTGCCAGAGGAGGGAATTACATTTAAGACAGAATTCATAATTTCCACTGAATAACAAACAAAATATTTGATTAAAGTCATGTTTTCTGTGCATATTGTATGGAAAGATTTGTGAAGCTGTAGTTTTTCACTAGTTTATAACAAAATCTAGTCTAGAAAGTCACAATAAAAGGCAGATGAGAGAAAGGATGCATGCAAGACAGTACTGGGACTAAAACCTCTTGGTTTTCCAAGATCATGTATACTTTAATCCTAGATGACAGCCAGTACTGCATAGACCTTTCTTTTGATCCTGTCCTGGTTTAGGGCAAATTTGGTTGAAAACCTCCAAAAGGGGCCCCCCCAGAAAGCAAACCTACACGGTCCCTCCCCAAAACTGGCTTGGGAAAAATTTCATTGGAGAGAAGTAGAAAAAACCTGTTTATTTAACAGGCCAAGCACTCCCCAGCACACAAAATGAACAATACCAGATGACAAAACTCACCCACTGCTCTGAAGAGATGAGAAATTCAGAAAGTCTCTCCTGTGGGGTCGCTCTGTTATCAGGGCCTGGGGCGCTGGGAAAGGCCCTGCCCAGAGCAGGCCCCGGAGGCCACAGAGTGCGAGCTCTGGTGCTCCGGGGCCCGTCTGGAGCAGGTCTGAATGGTTCCAAGAAAAGGGAAAGAGCCCCAGTCCAGGGAGCTTCTCTGCCTCAGCCAGCTAAACTAACTAAAAAGCAAAGGAGGGCCTGTTCTGCCCTGTCCTTGCCCAGACAGCACAGTCCCACTGAATGTGGAGGAGTGAGTGAGTGAGTGCAGTCCCTGATAACAAACTCCGTGCTTCTTCTCCCTGCATTCATTCTCAGAGCCAGTCTGGAAGGCGCAGAATATAATACCCAGCATAAACAGAACACACAGTTGGGGATACAAGCATCATAGCATCACCCTAGAACAGATCCTTTCCCTCCATCTTGTAGTTTTAAAACTTGAACTCGTTAGGAAGCAAAATAGCAAGTGTATGATACATTTAATATACAGTGAAATGATCTGACACTATGCTACAAATTCTTCTGTGCTATGTGCATCTTGTTATTTTTCCATTTTGCCAGTAGATGGAAGTAGTGATCAATAAAAGCAGCAGTTCCCACCGTAATTTAGAGCAGTTGGCTGAACTTTGAGAGCAGATTTGGAATGCAATTTCTTTTATAAAAGTCTTTTTCTTAAGAACAATTTTGATAACTGGTTTAGTGAAGGAGCACATTTTGAGTTTAAAATGAAACAAAAATTCTTCCTGTATTTAGATACTGAACAGTCACTGTGTTCCTTTTTCCTCCCAGCTTACATTTTTCTTGGTGGTTTTTTCCAGGAATGGAAGGAGCGGTATGGAAATAGAGATGATTCCACTAGAAGCAGAGGTGTCCACACAGACCAGAAAGAATCCAGCTTCTCAGAGACCAACACCAACAGACGTAAGCTTTGTGGGTTGGAGGGAATTTCGTTTTGTTTTGTTTCAGTGCATTTTCTTCACAGCACTGGATGTGAAAGTAGTTTCAAATATTCCTTTTGTCTTAGATGCTGTGCTGATAATGTTCGCTTCTGTAGCTCATTGTCACCTTCCCATTTAAGGCACTCAGAAGAGTACTATATTTCATTCCATCTCCAACTAGTTGGGATCGGAGATTCTTACTATTCTTCAGACCAATTACTTGGTCTTATGGGATATATAATGATTGCCATTAGAGTAGCAGTTGTCAACAAAAAAACTTCATTATACATCCTGAAGCTGGGTGTTGTAAATCTTAAAATTTACCTCTTCTGCTTTCAAGTGAGCTGTCCCAGACTGGAATAATGGAGTAATCAGATGACCAACAAATGTAACATCACATAAGTGTATATACCTTCATTTAATAATGTCTATTAGTAAAATACTTTGTTTTTGAATGCTTTAGACTTCAGAAAATTCTGTCAGAATGTGTATGGTTTCTTCTGTATTTTTTGTGCTCTTGTAAGCTTACAACAAGTAAAATGAAACTGAAGAAAAAGGAGGAAAAAGGGGAGGAGGGAAGCTTTGAATATGCTTTTAAGAAACACTGGTAGATTTCTCTCTCCTCTGTACAAAGTTGCAAATTTTTAGTGGTAGACTAACTGCAGTTGCATTCTAATGTTCATCATGTGATTATGTAGCATTCCAGCTCTAAAACAAGACATAGGTACTGACCTAGTGAAGGTCACAGAGTGAACTGCAAAACAACTCATGAGATTGATTTAAAAAAAAATAAATAAACAAAAACAAACAAAAAAACAGTCTGAACAGCTTAGTAAAAGCATGAAGCTGGGAGGATGAATGGATGATTTTAAAGTAATGCTTGCCAGTAGTTTCTTATTTTCCTTGATTCTTTGCAAGATAGATCTCAACCTCTTGGAGGGGTGAAAGTTGTAGTTGCATTTCTTTGGAGATACAAAATTGAAATAGTTTGAGCAAGTTTAGCCTAATATTAAATTTACTCTAAATAATTGCACTTTTGTAGTGGGTGAGATTGCTTTGTTATTCATAATGGTTTTTAAAATTTGATGTCTCCATACCCTCCAGGCTGTTCACAAAAAAATAAGTGTCTTTGACTCCTTTCACTTTTCAGCACTATCAAAATATACCCGTTCAAATGGTAGGACTGAAAGAGATAGAATAGAACTCCTCCAGGATGCAGAACCTTTGGATTTTAATGCAGACTCTGTTAATGATGACCCCCTTGAATCGGACTCGGGAAGGTGAGGAATAGTTTCTGTAATTTCAGTTAAAAGTTTCTACTGTCTTCTGTTTTCTGACCTATGACAGCTGTATCAAATGTTTCATAATAAGAGTTTTGTAAATGAAGTTTATAATTTCATCTAACTTTTTTCCTTTCTTTCTTTTCCCCTATAATAAGGAAATAATTTTAAGACCTATTAAAACCTGAATGTGTTCCAGGTTTTTTAGAAATGTCAGAGTAAGATTTGAGCTGGATATAATGTTATATATGGAATAATTGAAATCCTCAGCATATAAAACTAGCGAATGACATGCATCTTAAGGACACATCCCAGTGTGACCATTCATGGCACAGTCTGGGGGGCGTCACACTTGTGCCACCCAGACTTCCACTGCTGGGACTGAAGCCCCATCACCACAGGCAGCTCCAATAACCCAAGGACCCAGGGGGACCAAGCCCCCCTTTCCCTCCCTATTCACCCCACTCTCGCAGTCAGAAAATTTTCTCTTTCCAGCTTGACCGCAGGTTTCCCATAGCAAAGTCTCGGATACCTGGTTCCTCTAATCATGGTGAGGTGACGGTATAACAGCTCAAATTGGTGCCTCTGGGGAGGAACCCCAAACAGAAGAATCCCTGAGCTTTTACACCCTCACAGCCCATGTGCTCTGTAATCCAGACTCTTCCAGCTGAGCCCGTGGCTCCTGCACGCTCTACGAGTGTCCAGTCCAGTGGCAGGGACAAAGTTCCCTGTGCCCTTTGTTTGTTGCTCATGGTACCTTGCCTGGGGCTCCCATTTCCTGACATCCAGGGCACAACCTGCGGCTGCACACAGAGCAACCAGGTCTAGATGTATGCCTCAACAGACAGATATACAGTGTAAGGTTTACCTGGATTTCCTACAAAGCTTAGCTGGAGAAAGCTCACTTGATTTCCCAGCATAAAATTCATTACGAAAGGGCAGCAGGAAAGAAAACGGAATGTTAGAGGATCTGCTGCAGGAATACAGCTGGGAATCAGATCTTGGAACTACTAAAATAAATTAAAATCTGAACTTCCTGAACAGAGTATGTCATTGATATAGCACTATGTAGCTCTGTCTGTAGCAGAGAATTTTGTGATTCTGTGGTTGTGACTGCAACATCAAATTTCCCCAGTCACAGAGCACCTTATGTAACTGCTAAGCTGTGCTTATATTTAAGAAACAAGCAATACATTGTATGGGTGCTTTTTTTTTTTGGAGGGGTGGTTATAGTGTAGAAATGAAAAATAATTCCAAATTTACATATAAAAACTTATAATTAATTGTTTTTCAGCTAAAACTATTTTACCCCCATCAAAAAGAGTCACAGAAAGTAATTGTTTCAGTGGACTTCTATCTATAATGTCAATAAACAAATGCCAGCTCAGAAACATGTAAAGAATGCTGCAAAATGGCACTGCCAGGTTTCACAGGTTGATTCAGACAACTGGTTTAGTCTCATCACCACATTTGAACACTTGTATGTTTTTAAACACAAAAGTTTTTTATAAAGAGAATATTCTACCCTAGAATTTCTGTCAGCAGTTGGCTTCCATGCAGTGTAAAAGGGATTGTCTACTAAAAAGAGGAGTATGCATATATAATTATTCTGGAGCAAATACTTTTCAAGCACAGTGTCAGAAGTCTTTGGGAATCTATACATGCTTTGCAAAGTGGAACATTCTAAACTTCTTCTTTAAAAAGAAAATCAGGAGCTTCAAAGCTTAGCTGAGCTTCGCCCTGTAACCTTCATTTCATTTAATGGAAACAATAAGTCAAAAGTCATTGCAGATGGAATTTCAGTTAGTTTAGAAGTAGCTTATGTAACATTGATTTTCAAAACTGGAGCTTCTGCAGTAAATAGAACATTTTTGGACAACAAGGACAGTTAGGACACCAGGTTTTGGCTTTGTGTTCATTCAGATTTTACTAAATACTACAGTGAGCAGCTTCATTGTGCCTGTGTTGGACTTTAAAGTGTTTCTAAAATATATTTGATCAACAATTTGTGAAGTTTCTCTTTTACCAATAAGCATGCAGGTATTTGTTTGATGCAGGCAGTACATATCATGGGGTATTCTTAGAAGAAATACAGTATCAGTATACTGATACTGTATTTCTTCTAAGAATACCCCATGATATGTACTGTTAAACAGCATCCACAGCTACTTTAGGGGTACCGTTGTTTGTTTAGGTTTATTGTGTTTTGGGTTTTTGTTTGTTTGTTTAGTTGGTGTGGTTGGGGTTTTCAAAAAAGGTCCTGCTCAACCAAAACATCCAACTTCTTTCCTTTGTTTTAGGAAATATCGTTCTTTAAGACTCTCAGTATTCATATAACTTGGTCACATGAGGTTTAATTTAATGACTGTCTCTCAAATTCTCATGGAAACTAATTTAGTCGAACATCAAATTCATCATTCACTGGAGTTAAGGAGTAAGATTGCAAAGAGAGTTAGATGAGTTAATGGGTCTTTATTTTTCTATTTCCTGTGACACTTTTTCACTTCTGAAATTGATTCTGCAGGTACCAGCCTGGTGGAAGATACCTGTCCATGTCTCGAAGCAAAATATTTGATGATGTCTAAGCTTATCAAAGCTGAGGAAAATACAGTGGTCATCTAGCTCCTACTCATTGCTTGGAAAATACTGTATTTATGATATATCACTGAACCATCAGTGAACCTGATATATCAGGTTTAAAGACTCTTTAAAAAAAAACATGAAGGAACAACTCTTTTGGAGATGCACGTGTATGATAACTTCACCACTTGTGATAGGAATATGCTTCTGCTGTTGTAGATACTGTTGTGCATCAGTGTGGGCTTTTGTGTCATGACCAAAAGGAGAAAACTATTTAAAATTAATAGATGGTAAACTCATAAATATACCTAGGGCTCAACTTGAACTGTAACAGTCGAAGTTAGGGGAAGAGATTTTTGGAATTTTTAATTATTTTTTTTTTTAAATTTTAATTTTAATTCAATGCTGTGAGAGCACACTGATGCATCCAAGGTGCAGTTATATCATCTGTGCTTTTGCCAAGAAAGATTGGACTGTAAAATCATAGTCACAGAATGGTTTGGGTTGGAAGGAACCTTAAAGATCATCTAATTTCAAGCCCCTCTGCCATGGGCAGAGACACCTTCTGGTGTTGTTCAGCCCTCCATCCAGCCTGGCCTTGAACACACCCACGAATGGAGCATCCATTCCACAAGTTCTATGTGGCAAGCTGTGCCAGTACCTCTCCACCCTTACAGTAAAGAATTTCTTAACATAACTAATCTAAATCTGTCCTCTTCTAATTTTCACTCATTTCCCTAAGAACCTAAATGAGAGATGTGGGACTCCAGGTGGTGCTTCCAAATGCAGTTTATTACATCCCTTTAGGCATGTTCAGACACTGGAAGGTTCCTGTGAGGAACTCGACCTTCTCTTCACGAGGCTTAGCAGCCCCAACTTTTTCAGCTGGTCTTCATTGAGGAAGGTGCTCCAATCCTCTCACCAACCTGGTGGCCTCCTCTGGGCTCACTGCAGCAGGTCCCTGTCCCTCCTGTGCTGGAGCCCAGCTCTGGATGCAGTGCTCCAGGTGGGTGTCAGCAGAGCAGAGCAGAGGGGCAGAATCCCCTCCCTGCCCTGCTGCCCACGGGGCTCTGGATGCAGCCCAGGACACGTTTGGCTCTCTGGGCTGGCAGTGCCATGGCCGGGGCATGTGCAGCCTCTCAGCCACAGCTTCCCCAAGCCCTTCTGGGCAGGGCTGCTCTCAATTTGTTCTCTGCCCAACCTGTACGCTTTGCCTGGGATTGCAATGACCAGGCGTAAGACCTTGTCCTTACTTTGCACAGACTGACCTCTCAAGTAGGGCCTGTCCAGGTCCTTCTGGATGGCTTCTCTTCCCTCCACTATCAACTGCACCATGCAGCTTGGTGTCAACAGATAGCTCTTGAGGTTCCTCCCATCCTGATACTCTGTGATTCCATGAATCTTTTTTGGTATAAATTTTGGAGCAATGTGTGTTGGTTAAAAAAGGCTGTATTTTTTCTTTTCCAACATTATATGCAGATATATGATTTTAGCATGTGTAAATAGTTGAAATTGAATATGGACCCGAGTGTCACTGTCATATGAACATATGTGCAATAGCAAGAATGCATTATTGAAGATACAATGTCTGCTTAAGATCTTTACAGATGTAATGATTCAAAATCATGGCACTCTAGTGTTTTTGTAACTGTAAAAGAAACATACTATGAAGATGAACTTAAATACTGAAATATGATAATTTGCACGCACCTCAGGCACGGCTTCAAACTGTAGAGTATTTTTTTTAAAAGAAGGGAAATACATAGCATGACTAGGTAATGGTAAACACTTCTAATATCCTAAGTACCCTGGTTGCATTATGTATCAGTTTTTAAGGTGCCTGTATTTTGAAGTAAGTTGTTGCAAAAAGAGTAATACTTTGCCATTCAAAAATGCCAATTATTAACAGTGTAAAAAAGCTTCACATTAATTTCATTAGTGTAGGCATATTTTTAAATCATAGTTAATTGTATGAATTTTCAAATATAATCATAAGGTAAAAGATGCGGTCAAATTCATGATAACTTTGGTAATTTGAATAATTTAAAATGTTGCTTTTTTCCAGTTTGTCTAAAATCTTTACCACTTGGGAGCTTTCTTATGTGCTTATTGCAAAGTTATGTTGAAAACTAAAAGAGAACATGTTTTTATCATACATTCTTTATCATGCTTAAAAAACACATCCCTTAAAGCAGCTAGGAATGAGTTATTCTGAAAAGTAAGTTTTCATGAATGACGTATTCTAGTAATTTTTTTAAATAGTCTGTGTTTTCTCAAGTAATTGTTAATGGGGATCTAACTCTACCTCCTGTGATTTTAGTACATGTGTTGTAACAGTAGTGGTATTTGTAATACATTGATCTGCCTGTTTTGAAACACTGAATTGTTATTATGAAGGAAAAAAAAATATTTGTATAGAAATAATTATATTAATAAATTAGCAGACATACAATAATTGTCAGTTTTGTTCTTAGGTGAATGTCAGCCATACCCACAGGCATTCAAGCTCATGCAATTTCCAGACTACTCAGATGAGGTCACTTTTTAGTTTATGTACTTTATGTTTGTAAAAGCTTGTTCCAAGTCTTAGGCTTGAGTCTTATCAGGGACTGGAAGTTGAGAAGGTTAGTCTCTTTATTCAGAGATTTCTTTAGGAATTCTATGGTAGCACCTATTTAATTTCTTTTTTAACTACTTAGTAGTGCTATCTTGAATTCATCCTTATATGAAAGGTGTTGTATATGTTCTTGGGCACCCATCCACATGAATATTCTTAGACTCTATATTTCTGTTTAAAAAATTTGGATCAGCAGTTTATTTATAAAAATCTTTGGCAGAAATAAAATTCAAACTCTTTGTTTAACTCTTGAGATGTCACTTCAAAGGGATCTAATTCAGGGCCAGTAGAAAAGCTATTAGAAGGAGAGTCTTGTTTTCTGAAAATCTGTGAAATAACCTTACCTACTCCCTGGTGACCAGACAATGGGATTGAGCCTTCTTGGGGCCTGTTTCCCCCCCCCCCCCCTCAGTGAAATGGCTGCAAACAGAATTTTCAGGGGAAACATGGTCAAGATTTTATATATAACAGGTAATTAGTCCCTAGTGCAGATTTCATTGGAATATAGTAATTTGAAGAGTTAACTGTATAAATTAATGGCAGTGGGATTTCAGATTCTAACATAGACATTCTGAGCTGAACATTTTTGATGTTGCAGTGGAGTAAGGGAGAACCAATGGCTGCTTTTTGAGCGCTGAAAAGCTCTAAAGAATTCTCTGTATCATGCTTGGTGTCACATACTCCCTGGATGCTGTTCAGCTGAACAAGGAGTTGATAAGTGAAGTCAAGTTTTTTTCCGTAGTATGTATTGCTGACCAGGAGTTATCCAGGCTCTAATTAAATGCTGTTTATTGGCTAACTTAATGTATGTTTTGAAAATTCATTATGGGTTCATATGACTGAATCTGGAATGCTTTCAATAAAGAAATATGTTGTACAACTGTAGAAGAATAATATTTGCTGTTCACTTGAGCTAGTTTCAAACAAATTTGGTTACTGCTAGAACAAAAAATGCAGAACTTGGCTGGGGGCTGTGTCCCTAAGGATTTACCCCACTCCAGAGAGCTGTTGATACCCTGTCCCTGGAAATGTTCAAGCCCAGGCTGGACATGGCTCTGAGCACTCAGTTCTGGTTGAAGATGTGCTGGCTGGTTGCAGGAGCATTGGCTAGGTGGCCTTTACAGATCCCTTCCAACCCAAACTGTTCTGGGATTCCATGGTGCTTCTCAGACAGATTGTGGCAACCGTTGATGGGTTCTTCCCTGCTGCAGCTCCAGTCCCAGTAGTCCTGCAGCTAAATGAAGTTAAAACTAGCTTTGATATGTTTAAGCGGTGACTGTACTCTAGACTAACAGTGTTCCTCCATCACTTCTGATGTTCCAAATTAGGTGGTTTTAAATACAATTCCGTTGCAAACTGTGCTTTTGGAAACTTGAGTGTTAATGTATTTTTCTGTCAGTGTATATATAGAGTCATACTTATTTGCTGCTAAAGAATGTCAATTATATATTTCTTTATTGTTTCACTTTCTGAATTACTGAGCAGTTAGTGTATACTTCTTGCCATAATTTCTGCAGTTTTCTCTCTATCAGTGAACACCAAAACATGAGAAATCCCACCCAAGTTAAGTACAAATGTTTGAATGTCTTCCTGTCAAAGATTTAAATTAGTAAAATAATGTGTGCAAGTCACAATGAGCTTCAAAAAGCAGTGTGAAAACAGTACCTAATCAGTGTTGGAATTCTTAAAAAGTATGGATAGGCAAAAAGCTGTAGTCAAACTTATTACTCCTACTGGATTTGTAGTTCTCTTTTTCTTAATACATATTTTGATACGTATATTGGGAAATATGTGCCCTACTCAGCTAAGGAGGGGTGCATCTGTCAGCTGTGAAGGGAGGCAGTGGCAGTGTTTTATGAGGGAAGGTAAAAGATATGTAACTTCTAATCTGTGCTCATAGTGATAGTTTGCTTTGGGCAAAGGATGACATAGCTTCTTATTTAACTACAGTAAAGTGTTAAGAAAAAAAGAAACTTTTTGCTTCTATAAACTACACTACTGGAAAAATGATGGTATCTAATCTGACTTTATTTTGCAATCAAGCACATGTAAAGTAGTCATTAACAGTATTAACAGGAATGGTGGAAAGCTGCTGCCTTTTCAATATTTATTTGTGCTATTTTGAAATACAACATGAACAATGATTTTTACATAGGAAATATTAAAAAATATTACTATGATTTTCTATTATTATGGTAATTTGTATTTTATTAAATTTGCCTTGGAATGCTGTAAATATTATGTGAAAAATACTACATTTAGTTTCAATTTTCATTATTGCTTTAATTACTTGAAATCTATGGGGCATTCATAATACCAAATAGAGAACACTTTATGAAGGAAAACTTTTTATGAAGCTCCTTAGAAAATCTGACTGGTTTATTGCAGACCTATAGGTGCATCTTAATTATTAACAATAACACTACTAAGGGGATATATCGTGTCCTAGCTTTTTAATTTTTCTTTGAAATTCAAAAAATTGTTACCTTTTTTAGAGCAGCTTAGTTGTGAATCTTGTAAACTTTCTGAAACTTTTACATTCCTTTTTCCTAATGGGCTCTGCAGGAATATGTGCTGCTTCATGGCAGTCACCTAATACTAGCTGTGCCTCTAATTAAGTAGTCTAATCTGAAGCTGAGACACTCCTACACCATTTGATTATGTTAACAGAAATTCAGCATTCCTAGCAAAAAAAAAAAAAAAATTTGGTACCCTCTGTTTGGGTCATATCATAAGCCCAATCAGGTTTGTTCTTCGTTTCTCTTAGAATGCATTGGAACAAAGTCCTCAGCATGCTTTTGTGTGCATGTGTGTGTTTTAGTATGCAGCTTCAGTTATTTTCTCAGGATAATGTTGTTATATTTGACATATTCCTGTGAACTAGTAGTTTCAGAGTGATACCTTAGCTGTCACTGTAGAAATTCATTATTTTCAATAAAAATACATTATGTTTTTGTAGAGGTATCTGGAAGGTAAGGGAATTCATTTGTAAGTAGAGGTTTAGTAATAGACCTCCATTCTCCAGTGTATATCAAGATAGGCTGTAGGAGTGCTGCTTATGGATAGACTATCTTCTTTTGCCTTATGATACAAGTATGTATGCATAAAGACCTTGTTTTGAAATTCACAGAGTTAAACATTTTTCTTTTTAGTGTTCTGAATTACTGTTGTACTGGATTATATTTTTGAAATGTGTGTTACAATATATATAGTCAAATAATTAAATTGGCATGAAATAAATAATTTCTGCAATACATTTTCCCTGGTGTATTTTAGATATTCATACTTCTCTGAAGTAGTCTTTTAGAGGAACTTGACCTATTTCTTTTTTCCAGGTGAAAGTTATACTTTTATTAAAAGTATATTCATACTTTAGAAGATAATACAACCTTGTTTTGGTTATCATTTTGAATCTTCTTGAAGGCAGATTTAGAAAGGAAAT